CTGATCTTATAAGGGGTGCCAGACATTGTGAATTTTACCTTGTTGGGTCAATATTTATTGGGTTAATATTTTTGTAGCCCTATAAATATTCTTGAGCTTTGTTCTAGGACTGTCACTTGGAAACAATTTGTTTGCGTCAGGTCTTACTTTGAAGATTTGTTAGGTAGGGCTCAAATAAGGTTCATTCTAGGATAATTACTCCTCGCTGCTGAGGCAAGACCCTTTTCAGTGATCTATACAATGCCTGTGAAGAGATGCTTGGGGGAGCAGGTACTGTTAGCCCTCTGTGAGTGCCAGGCACTGATCCTTTTACTCTTCTTTTTTTTTTGAGTTGGAGTCTCACTCTGTCACCCAGGCTGGAGTACAGTGGCACACTCATGGCTACCCCAGCATTGACATGCTGGGCATAGGCGATCCTTCCGCCTCAGCCTTCCAAGTAGCCAGAATTACAGGTGTGCATTACCACACCTGGCTTATTTTTTGACTTATTGTAGAGACGATGTCTCACCAAGTTGCCTGGGCTGGTCTTGAACCCACAGGCCCAGACAATCCATTTGCCTCGACCTCCCAAAGTGCTGGGATTACAGGTTGAGCCACCGAGCTTGGGCACCTTTTACTCTTATTGAATGATTCTTTCTTTAGCTTTGAGTAGTTTCCTTATATACACAAGCTGACCAAATATTCTCTGATACTTATGGGGGTTCATCTGCTAATTTCAGGGGCCTCACTCTGTGCAGCTTTCTCCTCTATGTTACTTTGTCTTGTACACTGTACCTGCTCTGCTATCCCTGGACTTGGCTCTGTTTCCTCATCTGAAATGGTCTTCTGAATTCTGCCTGAGTTCCTCTACCTTATGCCACAGCCTGGAAACTCTATCAAGATAGGAAGCCGGGGCAACTTCAAGCTCCATCTCTCTTTGTTTCCTGACTCTTATAGCTCACTGTACTTTGTTTCTTAATGCCTAGTCTCTTGAGAATCATTCTTTTATATACTTTGCCCACTTTTTATTTACTTCAGGAGAAAACAGAAGTCTAATGTCTATTATTACATCTTAGCTGGAAGCAGAAGCTGCCCTTACTATATTCTGATACATTATATTTTAACATATAAAAAAGCAATAAGATTATGTTAAAAATATAGAATTGATCACATACATAAAAGTTGTTTAAGTGTTCTTGTTTTTATAATTTATTTACTGACACATCTCACCTCATATGATGTATGTACATACATAAAATTTTGCCCAAAGTTCAAAAAATATTACATTATACTGCAATATGAATTTTTATTGGTATTAATGAATTCCCATTCTTTTTCAGATTTATAAATGATCCAAGGAATATAACGTGTTTGGCTTATTTTTATACTACAAAGACAATAGTTACATCTTAAAACTAAACATATTTTTTTTTTAGTTCTTTCAATAAATCTTTGTTGAGTGTTCACTACATTCCAGGTGTTGTTTAAGACAATAAACTATGGCCATGGTCTGTTTTTGTACAACCTATCATCTAACAATAGTTTTTACAGTTCTAAAGGTTAAAACACAAAACAAGCCAAAAATAAATAATAGAGACCACATGGATGACTGCAAAACCTAAAATATTTACTGTTTTATCATTATAGAAAAAGTTTGTCAAACTTTGGTTTACGATATTGAAAGGGGAAAAGCCAAAATGGAGTAACTTAGTCAGAGTGGCAGCCATTTCAACACTGCTTACCTTTGTCATGCTTTTTCAGCAGCTTACTTCAATTCACAATTCACCTTATAATCATTAAACAAGAAAGAAAACCGGTTTCTTGAAAGTAGTTACTGATAATTGTCTTGTAACCCACCAAGCATGCTTTGTACTAATTATCCTTTTATCAAAGGGATTTGTCTTCTCACTGTAAAGGGCCAAGCTGACCTAATGTATTGTGATCAACCCTTCATGACCAATGTGACACAGACTACCGCCCCATCACCATGGTGATCTGCCCTCACTAAAAGGGAAGGTTTAAAATCTTTCATCCTCAAGCATTCACTGCCAAATGTTTCCCAAGTGTCTGGCCTCTTCTCCAATGTTGGAGAGGTAGATTTATCCTTTTTTGTAATCTACATTCTAAATTAACTTTTTCTGACCTACTCTTTGTATAATTCTTTGCATACTTCCCATGGCACCGGCTCACTGACCTAACAGATATTGGAATAAAACAGTATAAAGAAAATAAAAGAATATCTAGCCTTTATGGAGCTGACATTCTTGTTAGAAGAATACAGGTAAACAATTAATACATAAAATACACAGTCTGTCAGATGATACATAGACAATTCAAGCAGGATCAACTATTAGCAGAGGGATATAGGCTGCCTCATGGGCTGTAGTACAAAATGGGGTGACAGCTCAGGATGAGGAATGATGTGGTTGTCTGGACTGTTCGAGGTAAGTAAGACCTTAAAGATATGGCGGCCAGGAGACACAGCCATTTTGGTTGTGATTGTTGTGGTGTGGGTAGAGAAAGGAGTGGTTTATTATCAGAAGCCCAGGTTGCCCGGGCTCTTACTTCCCTTCTGGCAGTTGTGAACTAGAGACCTGGGAAGAAGGCAATTTTATTAGGAACACCCAGGTCTTCTGGCTCTCTCTGAATGTGATAGTGAGAATAAACTAAAGAAAGGAGTCACCAGAGTGGGGGAAAAATTTTAAGAGTAGATATTTCCTGATGCTGACATGGTATTAGAAGAGATCATTGACAAGCACACAATTCTAGAAGTTAAATAAGTCTAGGAAAAGAGACAAAGTTATTGCTGTTGTAAGCACCATAACATAAGAAACATCACACTAAGTCAAATCAGTATTCCATGATATTGTTTTTTTAAAAGTTTTTGTTGAGCACCTACTATGAACCCAGCTCTGTTTTAGGAACAGTAAATATAAAATTCCATCTCTTATGAAATTTCCATTTGAATGCTGTAAATAATTTCAAATTTTTACAACTGTTGTATGCAAGTTGGAAGGCACTATTTAAATAGGGTGGGCAGGGAGGGTATTCTAAGGACATGCTTTTTATGCTGGCTGCTGAAAGATGAAAGGGAGCTAGCCATTCCAAGAGTAAGTGAGATGAGGCAAAGTGAATAAAAGTGAGAAGACCCTGAGGCAGTAAAGAGCTGTCAGAACACTGATTTATGACTGTAGCAGTCTTTCCTCAGGCAGTTTTGTCATAGAGCACTATTGATTCTGTCTTGAGTTAGGGCCTCTTGGGACAGTCCTCAAGCCTAAGGCTATCTTGGGGCTTATCCTTTCCATCTTTCAGTTTCTCTCTACTTCTGGGACAAAGGATAGGTTTAGGGAAGGCGAATTTCCCTCCATATATCACGCCCTTAAGATTCCCAACCTTTAGGTGGTATCCTTGCTTTGTCCACCGTGGTACAATGCATGCCCACTTCATTTATATACACTTATTAAAGATGTCAGGAGGGCAATAACAGTCATCATATTAGCAGTAATGACAGCTGGCTTTTATTGAGATCTTTTTAAAGTTATTTTTATTTTGAGTTGGAGTCTCACTCTGTCGCCCAGACTGGAGTGCAGTGGCCAGGAGCCTCGACCTGCTGGGCTCCGGTGATCCTTCCACCTCAGCCTTCCAAGTAGCTGGAACTACAGGTGTGCGCTACCACGCCCGGCTAATTTTTTGATTTATTGTGGAGATGAGGTCTCACCAAGTTGCCCAGGCAGGTCTCGAACCCATGGGCTCAGGTTATTGAGATCTTACATGTAGCAAGCACTCATATGTGGTAACTAAAATAATCCTGACATGAAGAACAATACAAATCATATTTTTTCAGATGGGGAAATTGAAGTCAAGATAATTGAGTAGCTTGTCCAGTTTATGCAGCCAGTAAATGTCCAAAGTTGGCAATATGACCACAGAACCCTCATGTTCTTATGGCTAATATACTAGACTGCCTATTTTCTTGAGGAACAATCTGTAAAAATAACAAACTTTCCAGGTATACACTTTTATTTTATATAGGTAGTTTGAACCTGATCTAAAATATTACAAGAGTTTCCCAAACCCTTTCATTTCTCTCCATTATTACTATGATTTTAGTTTGAGCCTGAGAGTAAGTGCTTTCTGGGGAGTTAAGACCTCTTTTTTCCTTCTCTCAGTCTCTGTCCCTGCATAAGCTTATTTTCAGTCCTGTAGTCTCTTGATAATATGTTTAATCATATCGTCTTTACACTCCAGTTCTTCTCAGCTTTGGGTCAAATACATTCTCTTCACAATTTCCTCATTTCTCCAACTCAGTCTGCTTCTTGTCTCTGTCATTTATCTTTCCTCTACAAATTTAAGATTTGTTGTTTTGAATATTAACACGTTTTGACAATAGAATAACAGGCACTTGACTAAGTTCACTTTACCAGGTAATCTCACTTTTGCATTCTAGGCAGTTGGTAATACTTGTGCAGTGAAAATTTTTCACTCAGATAAATCACAGCCAATACATTTTATAATACTGATAATTGGGTGAATTTTTATATTCATAAATTTTTCTTGCCTTTATGAAGAATCTCTTAGTTTATTGGAAACTGGTTACATAAAAAGACTAAGTCAAGTAAAGTTTTGGAGATTATATATAAAAATAAGGAGTGCAATGGATTTCATTGCATACAAATAGCAACCATCTTCAAGTATTCTGAAATCAAATAAGCAAGCAAACTGACCCTCAGTCAATGGAGAAATGCATTTATCTTATTTTAGGGGGTATTTTTAAGCCAAATGTAAATGTTCTAAGAGAACAGAATAAATCTTAAATTTGATATGAGACTACCATATGAGAAAACAAAAATTAAAAAATTAAAAATTATCTTTACCTTATTTCATTTATATTTCTACTTAACATATAGTTTATTTAATAAAATCCAATAGCTAATTAAACTCAAGTTTTTTCTTATTCACCTTTGTGTGTGCTACAGAGAACAAAATGACCAAAATACAATAGACATGGAAAACATCCTTACCTTTAAAGAACACAAAATTCCCATCACTATTTTCATAAACTGCATCAATACTAGGAGGCAAGCCCCGCCAGAAGTAAGTAATTTGCATGGGGTATCCATCCATCACTCTGTTGTTTCTTACTCGCCAAAACCATTGGTCCTGCAAACCAAGCAAAAGCATCTCTCAGCAAACACATAGGATACCATGGCATTTCATGATGCAATGGCTGGACACTTTTAAAGCTAAACTTGTATCTTTATTATTTTCTTACATTTAACCAGAGAAAGAGCTAACAACTTAACCACAGTGATCACAAAAGTTTTTGTAGTAAACTTTCCAGTTTCTAAGCCATACAGTGTGAATAAAAACATAATGTCAACATACTTAATCTTGTCATTTTACAATATTTCCAGGGCTTTCTAGAGAGAGGTAGCACATACAAATCCCTTCCAGATTTGCTAATGCAAGTCAGTTTTTCCTGAAAATGAGAACAGGGCTATGGCCACACATATGTCCTAGCGTTTTTAGACATATGCAAGATTTCTACATCTACAATGGTGGGCATGAAATAGGTCATATCTCCAGTATACCCATGGTATGCCTATTTTCTTGTGTAATTATAGGTAGAGCTCCCTTTCACCAGCATATGTATCTGGGTTTGGTTGATAAATTTTATGATCACCCTAAACGAACAAAATTGTCTTGGAAAAAAAAAAATCATCACAGAAGATCCCAGTTTAGGTTAATTGCTTCTCCTAACTGTTCTGGTAATATTCTATACTTCACTCAATCTTAGCACAGGTCACTTCATATTAAAAGTGTCTATTTACTCCTGTCCTTAGGGAATAACACATGGTTTGACCCAAGGCAGGTGTTTCTCTAGTTGTTGAATTAATAATTAGCCTTCACACAATATGTTTCACCATAAATACTTTCTAATGGAAAAAAAAAATCCCACCAAAAAAAGGTATATCTGGTGACACTAGCAGTTTTCTATTGAAATTTTCAGATTAAAGATGATTCAAGTGTTTAATATTTTTAAAAAATTAGGCCTATTTTAAAAACTAGTTTTCAACACAATTAAAATTTCACTTTATTTTAAATATCTGTATATACAAGCAGCATTTCACTTGGAAGTTAAATATTTCTACTACTTAAACAAGTACATATCACAAAAATACTACAAATTTAATTCTTCTTTGCTCTTTCTTGCTCTCTTACCCCAACTTATATATTAATAAGTGATTTATAAGAGGGTTTTCCAATGCCTTTAGTTGAGAATAAATTAGACTTACTAGAATTCCTAGGATTTATCTGTCATTCATATATTCATATATACATACACACACCCACACAATCTAATGAAGATTCTTGGATTTCAGGTGATATGAAAAAAAAAAAAAAAGAACAGTTTCCTACCTAGATCAAACCAAATATTAAAATTTCCTTAGGGGTCTTTGAATAGTTACAGTTTGTTCTAGTTATCATATCATGGGTTGACTTCTCCACCAAATTCTGTTATTTGTAAATGTAGGAAGAAGTAGCTTAATGGACAGCTCTGAGCTCATATCCCATTCTTGCTTCTATTCCCAAATAAATGTATCACTTTGATCAGGATACCAGTAACTGAGTTATTGAAAACTGTCTAACTCATAGCATGATTACTGTATTAAATATAAAGAATTTTCCGAGAATCTGACACAGAATAGCAGTCATACTTTTGGTTGTTATTTTTTAAATTATATTGAAACTATCTTTCCTACTTTTCCAGTTTCTATTTCTGTTTGCAGTTCTGTCTCTTGTCCATTGTTTCCTCTTCAAATTTCAGCTATATTTCAGTTCTAGCCATGCATCTTTTTTTCCCAGCATCATCTTATGCTATTCACCGTTTCTGATATTTTTTATGGTATCACGAATTAATAAATGAATTAATAAATATTTTCATTTATATGCAGTAGGTAAATTAAACTGATTTTAAAACACAAAGTTACTTCATGTAAAATTGATCCAGATAAATATATATGGGCATGGAGATCAGAAGTTTACTACTGATAGAATATAAGCAAGTGATATTCTGATCATTGAAAAGAAAAATTACATTTTTGTCTAGCTATAACAAAGGCTTTTAACTGGGTGTTAAAGCCATGCCAATCTCCAAATAAAGTATTCTTAAATTTTTGTAATATACACAAAAATAATAAATACAAATGTTTAAACACCTACTAGATTCTGATAAAGAAAAACTGACCATGATTATTTATGGAATAATGAAACAGAAAATTTTCTGAGCTGAAAAATAGGAAGAAATCTGGTGGAAAAGCCTGGACTATATTCCAATTTTTCTCAAAGAAGCATTTCCCACTGCTATAGTGTCACCACATTTTAATACAGGGTTAGACAGACACATACTGCAATCTGAAGGTAGAAGTACAACCCCAACTTGCCACTAATGAAGTTTCTGTCCCAAGATAAGCATAGCAAATTTGTAAAAATACAGAAAGCAACGTGAAACTTTGAATTTGACTATTTTTTGTTGACAGTTGCCTTGTCAGAAAGTCATATTAATTTTCAGCTTTTGTCTCTATAAGTTTATCCAGAACTTCTCAGTTTAGCAGAAAGCAATAACACAACTAATCTGAAAAGCATTCTGTCACAGCAGATGTAAACTCATAATGCAGTCATTATGGATTACCATTTCAGAAATGGGACGTGCAAACAATTCGCACAAAAAAAGAATATTTAAAATATTTAGCTCACAGTGCAAATTTTCCTAATACATGAGATCTTCTCTGATCACCCTATCTAAAACTGAAGCCCCTTCCTTCACCCACCTGGGTCTACTTTCTTCACCTCCCTTTCTCACTATATTTCCCTTCACTGCATATTTGTCATTGTTTTCTACAATGCTTGTCTTACTAACTTATTATTTATTCTTTCTCCATTAGGATATATGCTGCATGATGGCAAGATGATCTCTCTTATGTTCATGTGTGGTTCCCCATTTCCAGAAAAGCACCTTGCATATAGGAGATGCTCAATAAATAGTTCTTTAAAGCAAACAAAACTTAAAGATAAAAGAGCACAGTAAAAATAAGTGATCCTTTTAGAAGCCAAAGCTTTAAAATTAAGTATCAATCCCCCTACCCTGGTCAAGATTTTTCTTATTTAAAAAATGCAAAACCTGGCCAGGCGCGGAGGCTCAGCCTGTAATCCCAGCACTTTGAGAGGCCTAGGCGAGAGAATTGCCTGAGCCTGGGGGTTCAAGACCAGCCCAGGCAACTTGGTGAGATCTTGTCTCTACAATAAATTACAAAAACTAACTGGGCATGGTGGCGTGCATCTGTAGTTCCAGCTACTTGAAAGGCTAATGTAGAAGGATCGCCTAAACCCAGTAGGTCAAGAGGCTGCGATGGCCGTTGAGTGTATCACTGCACTTCACAGCCTGGGAGACAGAGTGAAACTCTAACTCAAAAAATAAAAATTAAAAAAAGTGAAAAATAAATAAAGCAAAAGCTATGCAGGGGTCACAAGAATACAAAATATTCTACTGGAATAAGCAAATGTTTAGCACATATTATGTTTTATAGAAAAGTGTGATATTTAAATGTCTTTGAACTATACAGAAAAAGCACATTTATTTTCATTCTTCTAAACAATGTATGTTCTACTCTAACTTTAGATGTGAAGGCTTTTCCTGAAGATGAATAACTTCTACAGAGTTCTAAATCAGCTATTTGTATGTTGCCTCTAGTCTCTTTTTTGCTACAACCCTCATAGAAGTGGTGAAAGGCGAAAGAACACACAAATAATAATAACTATCACAACTGCACAGTAAACTTTTGGGGAAAAAATAGTGTTTCAAAATCACCAAGTTGAAATTCCTACTTAAACACCAATATTTCATTTAAGATATAAGTACCTATGGCTTTATGTAGAGATCTATATTTTCATATAGACTACATAGATCACAAGATAAGTCCATACAGTTTACACTATGAAGCAGTAACACATAGGATTAATTCATGTGTTTCTTTATAATTCTGGTTTATGACAGGCTTGTGTGTGTGTGTGTGTGTGTATGCAGTAAAGGGTTGCTGTCTGAACATGAAATGATGATGTTATTTTATTTTATTTTATTTTTTTGAGTTGGAGTCTCACTCTCTCGCCCAGACTGGAGTGCAGTGGCCGCTTCCGGCCACCGCAGCCTCGACCTGCTGGGCTCCGGCGATCCTTCCGCCTCAGCCTTCCAAGTAGCCAGAATTACAGGCATGCGCTACCACACCTGGTTGATTTTTTGATTTATTGTTGAGATGAGATCTCGCTGCCCAGGCGGGTCTCAAGCCCGTGGGCTCAGGCAATCCACTCACTTCAGCCTCCCAAAGGCGCGGGATTGTTACAGGCTGAGTCATGGAGCCCGGCTTGATGATGTTATTAATCTACTATCAGTAGAGGTTGCTATTTTCAGGACTCTTTTTAAAAACTTTTCAGTAGAATTGATCTACTTTCACCTTTCTTCTGATATATAGAATCGCTTATTTAACCAACAACTTAATGTAAATTTATAAATGTCTCACATATTGAAACTGAACATTTCTAAAATCTCTATTTTTTTAAGTCCTCTTCTGACCAGACACCTTGGTCTTCCTCTAGTCTTTCTTTGTTTCTGAAATAGTACCTCAAGTCTCTTTATTTCTTGCCTTCATCACTGTCACCCTCCTAGCCCAAGCTGCTACTGTATTTCACCAAGATGACTGCAATGCTAACGCCAAACCTCTGATTTGCCTCCTACTGCATCTAGAATGAAATTCAAACTTGGGCCCTTGCCTCCAGCTCCCACACAGCTCCTGTGCTCTTTTGTGCTCTCAGGGCTTCAGTGACATGCTGCTTGACAGAGTGAAGTTCTTTTCTTTTCCCAAACATTGTGCAGGCAATTTGCTCTACAGTAGTTACCCCTTATCTGCGGTTTTGTTTTTTGCAATTTCAGTAACTTACTGTTATCCATAAATAGGTCCAAAATAGGTGAGTACAGTACAGAAGGATATTTTGAGATCATGCGAGACCACATTCACATAGCTTTTATTACAGCATATTATTATAAATACTCTATTTACTATTGGTTATTATTGTTAATCTCTTACTGTGCCTAATTTATACATTAA